GAGATTACTCTATCTGGCAAAGCTATCATTTAGAATGGAGGGGCAGATAAAGTGCTTTCCCAGATAAGGTCAAGTTAAAGAAGTTCTTAATTACCAAGCCCTTATTATATGAACTGTTAAAGGGACTTATCAAAGAAATAGAAGAAGATTCAAAAACTCTGAATAGTAAAATGACAACAAACTCACAATTATCAACAACTGAACCTAATCCCCTCACCTAAAAAACAAATAAACAAACAAACAAACAAAGCAAACAACTAGAACAGGAGCAGAATCACAGAAATGGATATCACATGGAGGGTTATCAATGAGGAGGGGGAGGGGGAGAATGGGTGGAAAAGTTACAGGGAATAAGAAGTATAATTGGTAGACATAAAATAGACAGGGGGAGTTAAGAATAGTACAGGAAATAGAGAAGCCAAAGAACTTATATGTACAACCCATGGATGTGAACTAATGGGAGTGGTAATGCTGGAAGGTGGGGGTGCAGGACAACTGTAATAGCATAATTAATAAAATATACTTAAAAAAGAAAAAATATTTATAATGTTGACTACACAAGCAGGTTATTAATTTATTCAAAAACTCTTTGTGAGTGTCTGTTGTATGTCAGGTGCTGTTCAGCACTGGATATACTGTGATGAATACAAAAGCCAGTCAAAGTCCTTGATTCCATGGGATTATCAAATTAATATGGTAGATGTATAATAAACATAAAAATGAATAAATGATGACTTCATCTGGTAAAAAGTACTATGAAATCCATAAATTATGCTATGAAATGTAAAATTCATATGGCAGAGGAGTTGGAATCATACAGGAGAGATATTGAGAAAAGTAATCAGTGTGTTCAGGGATATGCACTGAATGTCAGGAGTATATCCTAAAGAATTTTGGGAGAGGTAATATCATTGAAATTGATGTGAGGGCCTCAAACAATGAAATAATATTTAAAGTGAGAACTGAATGATAAGAAGTTGACAGGCAAGTAAGGCAGATAGAACAGCTGGTACAAGGTCATAAGATTAATAATACCATCATCTGGTAAAGAATGCCAATTAAAGGATAGCCAGCCTGCCTTCCTGTATTTCCCTCTTGCTGCCTATTTCATGAATACAAAGAGAGTCAATATCCATCCCCACTGAGTGGTTGAGTGATAGGAGAGAAGGACTGAGTGGTGGGTAGGGGAAAGAACATGCATGGTTTTGTCAACCAGTGTAAGAAATCTGAGCTTCATTTTAACCTCAATAGAAAGCAAGTGGTGGCTTAAAAAGAAAAGGAAATGAAATGAAAAGAAGAAAAGAAAAAAATATACAAAATAAATTAAAAAACTTGTCTCTGGCTGACAGAGAAAAAAATATATTATGGAAGAGAAGGAGTGAACCTAGGTGACCACTAGAAAATGTTGGTTAATCCAGGCAAGAGTTGTTTTTTTCTGGATGAAGATGATAATGAAAATAGAAAGAGTAAAAGGATTAAGGATATATTTGAAGAAAGAGCCAACAGAACTTGCTGTTCCATTGGAGTAAAGGGGAAGAGAAGTGAAAGAAATGAAGATAGACTCCTATCTATAGAGCTTAAGTAATGGTAGTGACATTAAATGAAATGAGAAATATAGTAGGCAGGAAATATTTAGGTACAGGGATTGAGCAGGTGGAATAAAACATCCTGCTTTGTGACAGTTATGTTGGGGGAGGTAGGGGTGGAGGACTGAGCACACAGGAAAAAAGGACTCATGGACATGGACAACAGTATGGTGATTGATGGGGGGAATGGAGGTATAAGGGACTAAATAATAATGAAAAAAAATACAAATAAAGATTAAATTAAAAAAAATCCTACTTTGGAATAAATTTGAGTGGCCCATTAATATTCAAGTGGAGATGTCAGGTAGCCAATAAAAAATATGAGTTTGGAGTTAATGGCAAAGAACAGCTGTGGAGTTTGCTGTCAGTATACAGAAGTCATTTAGGCCATGGGCCTTAGGAAGGAAGTACAGCTAAGGAAGAGGGAAAGAATGTGATACTGAGCCCCTAAGAGTATCTAAAATCTAGAGGCTGAGCACAGGAGTTTCAACTCTGTACAAATAAGATCAACAATCAATGAGGTAGAACAATAAGGAGACCAATCAGTGAGATAGAAGGATCATCAGAAGGCAAAAAGAAAAAAATTTGAGGAGGAAAGAGAAGTCAACCTGTTGAAAGCTGCTGAAAGGTCAAGAATAATGAAGACAGAAAGATTTGTTATATTTTATTTTCTTACTGATTCTGAGGAATGGTGGAGCCAAAAACTTAAATGGATAAGTTAAGAATTGTGTGAGACACACAAGTGTGGATACAGTGAGTGATTAATGACCATACTTTTGAAAACATGGCTGTGGTGCAGAAAAAATGAAGGGCTGAGGTAGTAGGTAGGGACAGAATCTAGGTTGAGGATGAATGTTGTTTATTCAGGTATTTTTTATGATGTGAGACACTTGAGGCCATACCAAGAAACAGAGAGAAGTTGATGGTGCTGAGGAAGAGGGCATAACTGAAGATCTGAAGACTTTGACAAGATGAGTGTGATTAGAATCTATGGCTGGAGAATAAGAACTGGCCTAAGATAAGGACTAAGAGAGCCTGTGCACAGGCCACAAGTTGGTAGATGTGTTGAAATGAAGACAAGGAGTTGTTTCTGTTCTAATTTTTCAGTGAGGTAAGATGCAAGATCGTGATTTTGAGAATGGGTAGTAGGAATCAGGTTTTGAGAGTGGGAGGAGAACACATCATATGTAAGATATAATTTTAAAGATAGAACAAGCACACATATTGGAGGAGTACAGTAGAACTTCAGGGCAGTGTGGAATGCTCATTAGAGATTGTGTCCCATGAATTCAAAAATAGACTAGCAATGTGCTGTGTGTTCTTTTCTTGCCTTATTAGTCTAGTACAGGCAAAGAGTAGTTAGGTAGTTGACTTCAACCATCTTCATGTGTGTGTCCATTAAGACTGACAAAAAGGAGGCAAGGGAGTTGAGTATAATTAAAAGAAAATGATTATAATGTTAGATCATATTATGTAATCTGGCTAAGAAAAGTGTGAAGACATGAGGAGAGAAGAGTAAGTAAAATCAATAGTGGGAAAGATTGGGTATCTCCATGAAGATGACAATTATTGGAAAAGGATCATTAAAGTTTATGAGCCATAGGATAAGTAGCAAAGACAGAGAATGGAATAAAGAAATTGAGGTTTCAAGGTGTACAGTTACTGATGGTTGGTAGGGTATGCATAGCCAGAGAGTTTGGATGGAAGGGAAGGTGCTTAGAAATGAGGAATTCAACAAACTGAGAGGCCAGGATTGTTGCCTTAGTTGCATTTAAGTATGTTGTAGTAACTACTAATGGTTCCAGGAGTAAGACATAGATGAAGAAACTCATGAGTCTGGTGCTACAGTCTTTAGTGGACAAGGACAGTGGGGGTGGGGGAGCATTGAGCAGAAGGTTGGGTGATGACAGCAGCAGACAGAAGTGGTATTGCCTCCTGGTGTTAGTTTCAATGTAATGTGATGTTGAGAAGAAGCACAGAAGAGGAATTGTTGAAAATGGCAACTGAGAGCGAGGAGCATACCTAATTCAAATCTCAGCACAGGGAAAAGTGTGTTGGAAGAGAAACACACAGCCTCCAATTGATAGGAAAAATCATTGTTTCCAGGAAGAGTCAGGTTTGATCTGAACATAGAAGTGAAGGGAGAATTGGGGGAATAAGAGAATTTGCAGATGATTGGGCTCCACATTCCAAAAAGCTCTGCAGAAGATTTTGGGAGAATGGAATGAGGGAGCAGAGTACACAATAATAAAGGAGAAAACTTAGAAGATGAAGGATCAGCCAAAAAGACCAACGTACTGAGGGGCTCTTAAATGAGACAGATTGAAGCAGAAAAATTTGGGGAATGAGGCCACTGACCTCCCAGCAGTTCTCCATGATGTGGCAGCCAAGAAGTAAATAACAAAACAAAACAAACAAAAAAACTTCCATAACAGGATTATTTCATGGGTCCTACCTAAGAGAGGTCTTTACTTTGCTTGTCTTTCCAAGCTCTTCCTTTGCTAGTCCTGTATCACTCTCCTTCACCCTGTTTCTGCTCTGGCCATGATGGAATGTTCTCAGTACCTCAAATATTCCATGTCCTCTCCCAACTCAGTATTTACAATCACCAAAATGATCTGTCCACTTTCTTCCTTTGAGAAACTCACACTCATCCTGTAGGTGTCCATCCAAATATGATTTCTTCATTTGCCCCTATTACACACATCCACACACTTTCTCATTTTTCATGACACTTGAAACTTCTGCCTCATGAGAATTTTCAGGACTGGATTGTAAGCTCTATGAGAGCCATGACTATAATTTTTTCTCTTTTTCTGTCCTCTTTTCTTAAGTATAAATTTGTACCTATGGGCACTCAATTACTATCAACCAATAGGCTGACTTGAGAAGTAGTCTAAGTGGTATAGATGCATTTCAGAGTAAAATATGAATTTAAGGGGTGAAGCAATCAGGATTGATTCTTTGCTCTGCCCCTTACTTACCTTTAGGTACTGGGCATATCCATTAATTACCCCTGATTAATTAGCAATTCCTAAGAAAGGTTTATCAGTATACTAATGGTACCCAACATTTTTTTGCCAATCTCTTTGATATTTTTCCACATAAATTGCTATGAGCACAGGTTTTCTCATTTTTTTTCTTTGAAACCAGATTGCAGCATGTGGATTAAGTCATCTTCATCTTGTACACTCATCTTGAAGTCATCCCTTAGGTTTGAAAATATCAATATCACTAACAGCATCCTACATGGGTGGGACAGACACATAGAAACAGACAGTAAATACCTGCACATGTGATGTAAGCTTCCTCCTTTGGACTGCATGAACTGTATTTCCAAGGGTCAGAAGGGCACTGCCAGAGAGACATATCAGTGTTCCGACACTGGATTCCATCCACCCACCGGGGTCTAGAACCTTCCCTATAATAAACAGAAATGTCAAGGGTCCCCACTGTCCCCACAGCCAAGGTGTCTGCAGATTATGGACAAGGTCATGACTTCCATGGGGGCTGTGGCAGACACTGCCCCAGGTCCCATTGTAGAAAACTTCCAGCCACCCGGCGCACTCCTGGTCCTCGCTCACCATCCTCAGGGCCAGGAACTCTAAAAGTGAAAGGCAGAAACAGGGCACAGTGAGTGGTCCACTCAAAGCTCTGTATTCTTTCTCTCTCCCAGAGGATGTGAACACTCATCACTGACTCTGCTGAGGAGACAGCCACTGAGTGGCAAGACTGAAAATTGTGTCCCTTTTCCCTGACTTTGTCCTTTTTGTGTCTGTCTGTCTCTACCACAGTGATGTAGTGGAACATGAACAGAGAGGAACAACAGTCTGGGCCCTCTGCAGGGAAAGCTGAATCCTGCTTCCTGATGAAACTTCTGACAGAGTATGTGGAAGGGAGTGTGTATAGTGCATGGTAGGTGTAATAATGGACCCACAAAGATTTCTACATCCTGCCGCATGGAACCTGTGAAATTTACCTTTTATGGGAAATGGACTCTGTGGTTATTATTAAGATAAGGACCTTGGGATGGTGAGATCAACCTGAGATATAGCACATTAAACAGGTGAGTTCAGTCTAATCATATCCTTAGATCCATTGTCTTGAAAAACAAATAAACTTTCTTTACTTCAGTTCAGAGGGAAATATGTCTAAGGAAGAATGGTCAGAGTGAGGCAATATTGTTTGTTTGAAGAAGAAAAAAAGGGGAACGTGGAGCCTGGGAATGAATGCACACCAGCTTTGGAAAGTAGAAAAGCCAGGGAGAGGAAAATCTTCCCTGGAGCGTCCAGAAGGAATGCAGCCCTGTGGACACCTTGGTGTCAGCCCAGTGAGACCCTTGCCAGACTTCTAATGTAGAGAATTATAAAATAATAAATTTGTGTTGTTTTAAACCACATGGTAATTCATTATGGCATCAGTAAATGGAGTAAAAATCTCAAGATTTTACTGCCATAAGCAACTGAAGAGTGAACCCTGTTTTTAATGGAAACTGTAAAAAATGGCTTTATCAGAAAATATTGCTGAGAAGGAAGGACCAGAGTCCCAGCTGCTGCAGGAGGAAAGGAAAGCACCAATTGCCATAACTGCTAGTCAGAGAGGCACTGTGGAAGGAAGCTTCCTTCTCCCCTAGCCCTTTAAGCAACACCCATCAGGGCTCAGACTCACCCTCGAGGGCCCCCATTTCCTCTACAGCCAATGAACAATGTGCAGCGCTGACCTGAGCAGATGACCCCTGCATCCTCCTTGTGCCGGCAGTTGTGCTGTCCCCAGCCCCGGGAAGGGCACTTCCACAGGTGGGACTCCCTTCCTGTGCAGTTCACTTCATCCAGCCAGATCTGCCCTGATCCTGGCCCAAAGTGAGCAGAGACTGTGGCATTGAGGGCTTCCCCACAGCCCAGCTGTCTGCACACCACCTGGGCATCGTTCAGGTCCCAGCTGTCATCACAGATGGTGCCCCAGGAGCCCTGGTGAAGGATCTCCACCCTGCCAGCACAGCGACTGCCCCCCTCCATGAGGCGGACCTGTGCACTGCCTGAGGAGAGAGAGTCAGGTCAGTGGTGCATTACTCAGGCAAAGAGAAGGGTTTTCTGGTCCTGTGGGAGCTCTCACCTGAGCAGTTGGCAGCGCTGTCCTCTGAGGGTGCAGAGCCTGCTGGTTCAGAGAAGGAGTTGCACTGGGGCAGCACCTGGGTCTGATTTCCTACAGAAAAAGTTAGAGGGTGAGTATGGTTGAAGAACAGGAAATTTATTTTATTTTTTTAAAAACTATATTTTATTGATTATATTATTACAGTTGTCCCATTTTTTTTCTTCCCTTTATTCTCCTCCACTCATACCATCATTCCCCCCACCTTAGTTCATGTCCATGGGTTGTACATATAAGTTTTTTTGGCCTCTCCATTTCCTATACTTTTCTTAACTCCCCCATGTCTACTTTGTACTTACCATTTATGTTACTTATTCTCTGTACATTTACCCCCATTCTCCCCTCCCCTGCTGATAAGCCTCCATGTCATCTCTATTTCTGTGACTCTGTTTCTGTTCTAGTTGTTTGCTTAGGTTGTTTTTATTTTTCTTTTCAGGTTCAGTCATTGATAGTTGTGAGTATGTTGTCATTTTCACTGTTGGTATTTTTTATCTTCTTGTTTTCCTTAGATAAGTACCTTAAACATTTCATATGATAAGGGCTCAGTGATGATGAACTCCTTTAACTTGACCTTATCTGAGAAGCACTTTATCTGCCCTTCTATTCTAAATGATAGCTTTGCTGGATAGAGTCATCTTGAATGACTCTATTGTAGATGTAGGTCCTTGCCTTTTATGACTTGGAATACTTTGCAGCCCCTTCTTGCTTGCAAAGTTTCTTTTGAAAAATCAGCTGATGGTCTTATGAGAACTCCTTGGTAGGTAACTGTCTCCTTTCCTCTTGCTACTTTTGAGATTCTCTTCTTATCTTTAATCTTGGGTAATGTAATTATAATGTGCTTGGTGTGAGCTTCCTTGAGTTTAACTTTTTTTGGGACTCTCTGAGCTTCCTGGATTTCCTGGAAGACTATTTCCTTTGCCAGATTAGGTAAGTGCTCCTTCACTATGTTTTCAAATAAGTTTTTACTTTCTTGCTCTTCCTCTTCTCCTCCTGACACCCCTATGATTTGGATGTTGGAATGTTTAAAGTTGTCCCAGAGGTTCCTAACCCTCTCTTCATTTTTGTGAATTCTTGTTTCTTCATTCTGTTCTGGGTTGAATGTTTCTTTTTTCCTATGTCCAAATCATTGATTTGAGTCCTGGTTTTCCTTACTGTCACTGTTGGTTCCCTGTACATTTTTCTTCATTCCACTTTTGCATAGCCTTCACTATTTCCTCTATTTTGCAACCATACTCAACCATTTCTGTGAGAATCCTGATTATGAGTTTTGAATTTTGCATCTGATAAGTTGGCTATCTCTTCATCGCTTAGTTGTATTTTTTTCTGGAGGTTTGATCTGTTCTTTCATATGGGTCATATGTTTTTTTTTGTCTTGGTGTCACCTGTTATGTAGTATAGGGGTGGAACCTTAGGTATATGCTGGGACAGGGCAATCTAGGTCACTGGGTTGTGGTGTTTATGTGGGGGAGGGGTCTGAGGGAGAACAATGCTACTTGCTCAGCTCTCAGTAGGCTTTCAGTCACTTCCTCCACTACCCACAAGCAAATGGACCTTTCTGGTGCTGATTCCCGGATGGGTGGTACTGTGTACATTCTAGGGATCCTGTGGGTCTCTCCGACACACTCTCCTGTGAGGCTGGGAATTTCTCTTGTCACCTCAACCCCCAAAGGTTTTTTCATTCATAGGTTTTGAGGCTTTGTTTCCCCAAACTGGAATGCTGGGGAAATATGTCTTGCACCCCAGTTATCCCTCCCAGTTTATCTGCATGCAAACATGGGACTTCCTGCTCTGCCAACTGCTGCCAGCCTACTCTGCTAGCCGCAGCCTTTCCACAAGTCCCCCTACACCCTGGCTTCCCATCTTCACCTCTCTTACTGGTTGGATGAATATGTCTTCTTTAACTTTTTTGGTTTTCGGGCTTCTATGCAGTTCATTTTCTGGCAGTTATGTTTTTTTTAAGTTAGTTTTTATCTTTCTTTTGGTTGTGCAAGGAGGCACAGTGTATCTACTTATGCCTCCATTTTGGCTGAAAGTTCTGAATTTCTGAATAACCTAGGGTTGGGTTCTGAGATGAAAGCTGTGAGTTAAGAGTAATGTTATAATATTAGAGTTCACTTTTTTTTAATGGAGTGTTCTGCTTGTGACAATGCCAAAATGCTTTTTTAAGCCAGCATTGCATTAAAAATGAGTTTAGAAAAAACTGGAATATATTAGTACTCTTTTGAAAGTGTTGCACAAAATATCAACAAATGTATTGTGGGATTGAACAATACCCTAGATCAAATGAACTTAACTGATTATATATATATATATATATGTCATTTCATCCCAAAGAAGCAAAATACACATTCTTTTCAAATGCACATGGGACTTTTTCAAACATAGATTATGTGATAGGGCACAAAGCAAGCCTCAACAAATTCAAGAAAATTGAAATCTTATCAAACATTTTCTTTGACCACAAGGGACTGAAACTACAAAACAACCTCAAGGGAAAAAATTAAAAAACACTCAAATTCATGGAGACTGAATAGCATGCCATTAAACAATGAATGCATTAAGAATGAGATTAAGGGAGAAATCAAAAAGTTTCTGGAAACAAATAAAATGAACTCACAACAGTCCAAAACCTATGGACTGTGTCTCAGGATGTGCTTGGGTCTCAGGCATATCCTGAGGTCTCAGGACACAGTAAAGGCTGTCCTGAGAAGGAAGTTCATAGCAATACAGACCTACCTAAAAAAAATAGAAAACATTTCAAATAAACAACCTAACCCTACACCTGCAAGACCTGGAAGAACAACAACAAAGACAGTCCAGAGCAAGGAGAAGGAAGGAAATAATCAAGATCAGAGCAGAATTAAATGACATAGAATCTAAAAAGAACAATCCAAAGGTTCAACAAAACCATGAGCTTGTTCTTTGAAAAGATAAACAAAATCAACAAACCTTTAACCAGACTCATCAAGAAAAAAGAGGACCCAAACACAGAAAATCAGAAATGAAAAGAGGAGAAAGTAGAGCTGATACCACAGAAATACAAAGGATCAAAAGGCAGTTCCCAGTTTTAGTTTTCTGAGGAAATTCCATACTGTTTTCCACAGTGGCTGCACCAGTCTGCATTCCCACCAACAGTGCACCACGGGTTCCCTTTTCTCCACATCCTTGCCAGCACTTGTTTGTTGATTTGTTTATGAAAGACAAATACCATATGATCTCACCTATAACTGGAACCTAATCAGCAAAACAAACAAGCAAGCAAAATATAACCAGAGACATTGAAATAAAGCACAAACTGACAGTGACCAGAGGGGACAGCGAAGCGGGTAATGGGGGAAAGAAGGAGAAGGAACAAGCAAAGGAGCAGGAATAGAGGACTCATGGGCATGGACAATGGTGGGGGATAGACTGTGGGAATGGTGGGACTAAGTAGGGGTTAGCAATGGGGGAAAAAGCAGAAGAACTGTAACTGAACAATAATAAAAATAAAAGAAATTAGGCCTTATTTAAGGCTTTGTCTAGTATGACCTTTGAGAAAAACTGATGAATCCTGTAGACTAAGTGTGGAGCACAGAAATCTTAAGAGAGTATTCACTATAGCATCAGCTGTATCAGTATATTAACAGCTCAAGCTGTACAACAAATTAGGGAAGATTGGTATTTTGTGATTGATTTGGCAGATGTTGTCTTTTCAATTTTTATTGAGGAAAAAAAGTCAAAGTCAATTTATGTGGGATGAACTCCAATATCAATTTACTGTGCTTCTACTTTATTTAATTCTCCTGTGTATTGTTCCAGCTGAAATTGAGGGAAATTCTAAATAACATTTGGCCTGTATTCTCTAAAAAGACCAGTGTTATGAAATATAAAGATTCAGAAAGTGCTCCATACTAAAGGAGACTAAATGGACATGAGAACTGAATGCAGCACATTACTCAAATCTCCTTTTAGCTGTGAACAACATCCTTGGATCACTCAGCAAAATCTGAATAAAGTTTATGGACTTGATAATAGTATTATAACAATGTTCATTTCTTGAATTTGGTCATTGTACTGTGCTTATAAGAGAATTCTTTGAAGTATTTTAAGGGTAAAGGGATACCATGTCTGCAACCTGCCAATTTTACCTACTAATTCAGAATGATTTTACATATTTGGGGAGGAATGGGACAGGAGAGAGAGAGAGGAAGCAAAAGAGAGGGAGAGAGAAATTATGGTAAGATACTAACATTGGTGGAATGTGGGTAGGGGTTATCTGGGAATTTTTATTTTTGCAAATTTTCTGTCAGTTTCAAAAATAAAAATATAGACATATAAAAGGTGAAAACAATTCAGAGAGAATCCATTCCTAAGACACTTTCACTAAAAGAAATAGAACAGCAGGTGACTTTTGGCCAAGATGGAGATGAGGATAAATACACTTTGTCTACTTTGTCTCCTCCCACAACCAAAAGAAGGACAACAACAAATTTTAAAAACAAAAAATAACCAGAACTGCCAGAAAACTGAAACTGTATGGAAGTCCTACAACCAAGGTGTTAAAGAAGAAACATTCATGCAGACCATTAGAAGGGGGGGGAAAGATTGGCAACTGGGGTGGAGAGGACTCGTGACAAGGTGGCACTTCAAGGACTGGGTGGCAACTGGCAGAGAGTGTGGCCTCACATTTGCATGTGGATAAACCAGGAGAAAAAACTGGGGAGTGAGACAGACCCTGCAATCCAGGGTTTCAGCATGGGGAAATATAGCCTCAAAACCTCTGACTGAAAAAACCTGTGGGGGTTGAGGCAGCAGGAGAAACTCCCAGCCTCACAGGAGAGTTTGTTGGAGAGACTCACAGGGTCCCAGAACATACACAATACCACCCATCCTGGAATCAGCACTAGAAGGGCCCAATGTGCTTGTGGGTAGTGGAGGAAGTGACTAAAAGCCAGCTGAGAGCCCAACAAGTGACATTGTTTCTTATTGGACCCCTCCCCCACATACAGTGCCACAACAGAGCCCTGTGGGTTGCCCTGCCCTAAGGCTCATTTTAACAACACCTAAGGCTGCACCTCTTACTATGTAACAGGCACAACAACACACACAAAAAAATATGGCCCACATGAAAGAACAGATCAATGCTCCAGAAAAAATACAACTAAGTGTATTGAAGGGATAGCCAACCTCTCAGATACATAGTTCAAAACACTGGTAATCAGGATGCTCACAGAAATGGTTGAGTATGGTAGCAAAATACAGAAAATGTGAAGGCTATGAAAAGTGAAATAAGAAAAAATGTACAGGGAACCAACAGTGAAGGGAAGGAAACTGGGACTCAAATTAACAACTTGGAGCAGAAGGAAGAAAGAAACATTCAACCAGAACAGAATGAAGAAACAAAGCATTCATTCAAAAAAATGAGGAGAGGCTTAGGAACCTCTGGGACAACTTTAAATGTTACAACATCAGGATATAGGAGTGTCAGACCCTTATAGAGAAGAGGAGAGGAAGACCAAGAAAGTGAAACCTTATTTAAAAACATAATGAAGGAGCACTTACCTAATCTGGCAAAGGAAATAGTCTTCCAGGAAGTCCAGGAAGTTTAGAGAGTCCCAAAGAAGTTAGACCCAAGGGAAGCACACACCAAGGCACATCATAGTTACATTACCCAAGATCAAAGATAAGGAGAGAATCTTAAAAGCAGCAAGAGAAAAAGGGAGACAGTTACCTACAAAAGAGTCCCCATAAGATCATCAGCTGATTTCTCAAAAGAAACCTTCAAAAGAAATCCCCAAGAAGGGGCTGGAAAGAAGTAGTATTCCAAGTCATGAAAGGCAAGGACCTACATCCAAGATGACTCTATCCAGCAAAGTTATCATTTAGAATAGAAGGGCAGATAAAGTGCTGCCCAGATAAGGTCAAGTTAAAGGAGTTCATCATCACCAAGCCCTTATTATATGAAATGTTAAGGTTCTTATCAAAGAAGAAGAAGATAAAAAATACCAAGGGTGAAATGACAACAAACTCACAACTATCAACAACCAGACCTAAGAAAACAAAAACAAAAATGAACTAAGCAAACAACTAGAATAGCAACAGATTTACAGAAATAGAGATGACAAGGAGGGTTATCAGTGGGGATGGGGAAGAGGGAGAATGTGGGAAAAGGTCCAGGGAATAAGAAGCATAAATTGTAGGTACAAAGTAGATAGGGGGAGGTTAAGAACAGTATGGGAAATGGAGAAGCCAAATAATTTATATGTACAACCCATGGACATGAACTAAGGTGGGGGAATGATGGTGGGAGTAGGGGTACAGGGTGGAGGGGAATAAAGAGGGAGAAAAAACTAGGACAACTGTAATAGCATAATCAATAAAATACATTTTAAAAAAATGAAATACTAAGAACATCAGAAACATAAAATGCCTAGGTGAAAACCTAGTGGAAGATGTGTAAAACCTCTGAGAGAAAATAAAGATCTAAATGAATGGAGAGATATACCATGTAAATGAGTTTGGAGACTCAATATTTTCAAGGTTAATTATCTTCAAATTCATGTGTAGAATAAATCTTATCTCAATTAAAATGCCATCATACTTTTTGGGGTGTGAAAAATGATAAAGCTGATTCTAAAATTCATAAGCTAAGCCAAAGACTGAGAATGACTAACACAGGCAAGAAAAAGCAACAAAGTTAGAGAAGTTATTATAAAGTAACTTCTTTAAAGTTTGCTAGACTTTCTATAGGGTTACAATAACTAAGAAAGTGTGGTAGTAGTACAGGGATAGACAAATGATACAGTGGAGCAGAACAGAAACTAGAAAAAGACTCAGAGATGCATGCAGTGTATGATAAAGGTGCCGCTGTAGTAGGGAAAAGAGTCTTTTCAGGATAAGATTCTGAGTCAATTGGATATCCATTAAATGATGTGAAAGTTGACCCTTATCTCACACTATACATAGATATTAACTCCCCAGAAGGATTGTACAATTATATGCAGAAGAAAAATAATTAAACTTCTATAAGTTACTCTTGGAGAATATTTTGTGATCTCCAGGTAAGCAAAGTTCTCTTAAAAAGGATATAAGAAACCCTAAATGTATAGGAAATAGTTGATAAGTTATATTCATGAACAGAACTTAGCTAAACAAAGAACACCATACCATTAAGAGAGTAAATAAAAGTCTAAGGATTACACATACAAAATAAATATACATACCTGTACCAATAATCATTGTCATGGTAATTTATAGCATTGTGTTTGTAATAATCAAGATTTGGAAACAACTCAAATTTACCATCAGGTGCATTGATCAATACATGATGTGATCATTCAATGGGATACTCTGATAGCAATCAAAAATGAATAAACTGCTGCTTAAGCAATAATATGAATGAATTCCAAACATAATGTGGAGTCAAAGAAGTTAGACACACACAAAAAACATTTCATGATTTTATATAAAGTTCAAAAAATGACAATAATATTCTATGTAGTAGAAGTTACAAAAGTGGTCTTGTTTGGAGAGGAGGGAGGGTAGAGTGAATGGTGGGAGGGAAAGCTGACTTCTTGGGTGCTTTTAATGTTCTCTTTATTATCCTGGGGTGGTGCACATGACTGAGGTATACACTTATTACTTATATATTCTCTGTGATCATACTTAAATAGAATGTTTATTTGAAAACCATTATTCCTCTTAACACTTCTTACCTTGACTAAAAAAATGAATGAACAATAAATGAGAAGAACCATATTTCACCATGAAATACCTTACCTTTGAAGGCAACTTTGCCAACTTTCTGTTCTTAGGGACATTTCACTCAAGAAACATCCTTAGTACCAGGTAGCCCTTCTCTTTCTCTTACCTGAACAGATCACTGAGGCTGTGTTCCCAGGGGTACAGTCAGGAATGCCCAGGGCAGTCACAGGGCAATTCCACAGGAAGGACTCAGTCCCTGAGCAGTGAAATTGGGCTTTCCAGATCTGACCACCTCCTCCCACAAAGTAGGCTCCTTTTGGGGGTAGAGATGGCAACTCCACAGCTGAGCTGACGACAGACAACATTGGCATTGGCCATGTTCCAGTGAGAGGCACAGAGCATTCTCCATTCTCCAGAAATATTCATCTCCACTTGTCCTTCACACTGAGAGGTGCCATTTTTCATGAGCCGCACTTCTGTGTATGCTGGTAGGACAAAACAGGATTTTATCAAAACCTCATGTTTTTCTGACCCCAACAGAGTATGCAGGGAGGTTAAAGTCCTGCTGTGCATCTCACCTGAACAGACAACTTGAACAGCCCCACTGTGCTGGCAAGCACCTCCTGGACAGGGCACTCTGGGGCAGAGCTGGAGTACAGGCTCCTGCCCCTCACACTGGAACTCTTCAGCCCATGTCGGTCCACCTGACTCTCTGAAAGGCACATCCACCAGGACAGACGCTGCTTTGCCACAACCTAGTTCTGCACAGATGACCTGGGCAGTGGGCCATGTAAAGTTTGCATCAGACACTGGAGTCCATTTATTTCCAGAGTGCACTTCTACTCGCCCTGAGCAGGGGCCACCCCCTCCAGCCAGACGCACAAATCCTGAGAGAAAAAACAAACAAACCCAGTGAAGTGTCCATGATCCTGGCTTGGCAACTGGAAACATGCCATAGGCAATGGTGTGAAAGTTTTGCTTCTCTGGTGGTGGGGCAAGGAAATGGATTGTGACAGTTATTGTCAGAATTGCATTTTCATAAACAAGTTTCTGAGGAGAAATGCACACTTTGAAGTTGGTTAGAAATGAGAATTCCTTACCTAGTGGACTAGCAATTACAGGGCCCAAGGAAACTGCACTGCAGTGGGCTTTTACACTTGGGTGCAGAGGTATGAATAACTGAATTAAGCCATAGTATAAAAAAGTCCTGGGAATTTTCTTCCCAGACAGTGCAATTCCAGCGGCTTGAGGCCTATCAGGCAGACAAGGTTAGAAGGATATCCTGAGATTTCTGGGGCTAGAATTCTGAGCAGCTTTATCTCAAAAGCCAATCTTTTTTTCTTAAAGGTTTTATTTCATTTTTAGACAGAGGGGAAGGGAAGGAGAAAGAGAGGCAGAAAAACATCAATGTGTGTTTGCCTCTAGCAGGGGACCTGGCCTGCAACCCAGGCATGTGCCCTGACTGATAATTGAACCAGTGACCCTTTGGTTTGCAGGCCAGTTCCCAATCCACTGAGCCACATCAGCCAAGGCCAAAAGCCAATCTTGAAATGACTGAGGATAGGGAAAATTATGAGAGTTGGCATAAGTGCATGCCAAATTGTAGACAGATTTATAGCTCAAGGGAGGAAATATAGATATAACCAGTCCACTTTTATGATTTTATATTTTATTTTCCCCCAAATTTTTGATGACAAAAATTCCAAGAATTTTTTAGGTGACCTGGTCTGAAAGAAGTTTGTCTAAAGATGAGTTTGGATGTTAAGAAAGCTCTGATAGTCATAGGAGTAGGAGTGAGTGGTCCTAGTCATCTTTCTTGAACCCTAGGATTTGCCACTGAACTTGGGAGAGAGAGTTCTCAGGGGAAATATGTAAGACAGCTAAGTGTGTTGATCACTTTATACTGGGTTTTTCTTCCCAGACAGGGGAATGCTAGTAAATGCTAAGGAGTAAGAATAATTCAGGTATGTTAATCCTATCTATATGCTAACTGTATATCTCTCTCCTACTTGGATTCTTGAGATAAGAAGCCAGCATTCTGTGAAATAGGAGAGGGAGAGGATGGAAATAGACAGCAAGAAGGGTATAATTTGGAGACTTCCAAACTGCAAAATCTTTAGTATAGTCAGAAGATAAAAATATTTTGGAAAAATACTTGTGGACCAAGTTTTTAATACATTTTATCATCCTGTGCTCCTCCCATCTACCACCAAACCATAAGGCACTGAGAAAAAACATATATATATATATATATAATATAATTTTATAGGATATATTTATACAATATATATTATATTATATTATATTATATTATATTATATTATATTATATATCCTTTGAAAAAGAGTTGATTGTAACAAAGACTCATTTGGGGGCTCCCATACTACAATGCATTTCCTCAGTGTGTCACCTAACATGGCCCCACATTTTCATACTGACTAAAGTCGTTCACTTCTGTGATGTGACAAATCCTCTCATTAGTCTGTGATTGGGAAGGAGAATTTAATATCTGTGCAAGACTGGTATTGCTAGTGAGAAGTGAAGTTTTAATAATTCAGTACTTCCATAGATGTTATCATCTGAAGTAAAATAATATTTGGCCTTGCCACAGATAATCCCCACTAGTTTTGTGCTATTTATATGTTTATGGGAAGGTAAGTGAAGTTTCTGTACAAATGAGGGCGAAGGAAGGATCTGACTGACACGGAGATTCTCACTGACCTGACTGGCTTTACTTGAGAAGAAAGAGTGAGTGAAATTTTCAGGGTAGGCGTTAGGCTTACACTGAGAGCTCCTGTCCAGCTCTTTACCCTTTCATTGGAAAATGGTCTTCCTGACCTGACCTTAAAAATGTCTAGACGCATTTCCAAAAATCTGCTTAAGCAGAAGAAATGGCAGAGGATAAGTAGTTTTTATCAAGAAATACTGAATTTAGAATTAGTATGTTTAACCTAATACTACAGAAACCCCAAAGTACCAACATAGCAAAAGTTGAAAGTAACAATAACTCCTAAAATCTGAAATCTGTGTCTTGCACTGTAGTGAACTATGCTCACATGTTGAGTCATAAATATGAAGAGATATGGACATAACTTTACTTTGATTAAAAAGGAAGGATGACACACAGGTCCACACCAAGCAAAATATGGACTCTTTCAGGGATAAGGTTAAAAATCAACAAAATTTAAAAGCTGTAAATAATACTGGGGATCCTCAGGTATTTTTCTCATTTTAAGCCAGAGAAGACAGAATCTGAGGAGGTTTTACCATAAGAGGGACTTGTTCAAGGTTGCAGAATTAGAGAATACTGTTGGCTCCAGACTTAGCCTCTTCTGTGTCTGTCTTATGCTCTCAATGCCAGCTCCACATCCCAGGTTAGTACAACATCTCATCTCCCTTCAGACCCACTGCTAAGCATTCATATCATGGCCCACTCTCCTGGGTGATTCACCTCTACTCTTCTCTCCATTTTCCAAATTTAGTATGTTTGCTAGAGAGACATCAACCTGAGTTACAAGAGGGATCTCATGGGGTCAGGTCTTTAGGAAACGACTCTTTCTGCACCTGAGCCTGAGAGATCCCCAATTTTCTATATCTCAGCTTGTGCTTAGGGTTCCTTTGGCCAGAGGAGATATTCCCTGTCATTGTTACAGCTTTATTTTGTCTTGATATTTATCTAGAGAAGCAAGAGAGCAAGGATGATCAGGTTGGGTATCATCACCTTTCATCTAGGTCCCATTTTTATTACTTCACCTCTTGCTGACCCTGTCTTCTCTGTCCTGCCTGCATCCACACCAACTCTGAAGTCCTTTTATGGTCAGCCTCACCTAAGCCTGTACCCTTTCAGCTCCTCATCCATCAGTCCAGGATCCTACTGTTCTGATTGAAACAGAGCACCTTGTTGTCTGAGAGGTGGGAAATGTCTCCATTTGTTGTGGTATTTGGCCACTCAGAGACCCACAAAGATCCAAGTGTCTTCTTAAGACCAGACTTGCCTTGTGCTCTTAGGCTGTGCATTCTCCTATAAAGCCAGAGGTGGTTGGTATGAATTTTCCATCAGGATGCAGCAAAGAGCAAGGAGAGTGGGACTTTGGAGGCCCAGAAATAGGCATAAATGGAGTGCCTGACTGGCAAATGATGAAAAGGGAGAGAGAAGGGAGGCTTCAAATGAGGCATCTCTAAACTCCCTGCACAGGTCTGATATTCAGATAGGAAAAAGGTATTTGAAAACAATATTGAGAGTCTATTTCATGTTGTTTTATTCAAAATACAAACATCTTTGTAGAGTTTGCAGGAACTTTGATAGGTAAATCACAGTAAAAGAATGGAAATCACAATAAAGGAATGTTCTTATCTTTTTAGGGCTTTATTCCTAGTGGAGGATAAACAGGAGTACACAGGTTTAAGACCTCTGCTAAGTGTATGAGAGTCCTGGACAGCACAAAGAAAATGAAACTGCCTCATCAGAGGGATATTTGTATTTAATCAACCTCACCCAAAGCTGAATGAAAATTAAGGGTCAGATATATCTCTGTCTGGTGTCCTGCTATATAGATATCCTGTGTCCTTAGGCAAGTTACTTAAAATTTCACCTCTGGGGTCCTGTTTCTATCACTCTGACCTTTTCCCTGTCTCAGTCTTGAGTCCACCTTACAACTCATTCTTCTCAATCCCTACAACCAGCCACACAGAATTCACATGAAGTTACCCAGAGCCTTCTCTACACCACCCCTGGGCTCTTTGTGCTGCTCAGAGAACCCCATATGTGTCCTTTGGAAGATCCCATTGTCAATCTCACCACCCACAGCTACTGTAAACTTTTCCACCCTCTTCAAAAATTGTTTGTCCCCTTAGTACCATTCTTATCAAATAAGTTCCCAAATGCACTGAACTCTCATGTAAAAACCTTATAATTCTTACATAAAAGATACAAATTAATACTTTATTACCTTCACCATTGACTTGCCAGTGCAAGTGTCCCCCCAAAGTTTGAGTTTATACAGATGTTTTGAAAGAAAAAAAGAGAATCTTTTCATGAAACTATCAGTGTAGAACCTATGACACAGAGCATTTCATGCAGATTTCTGGTTCTACTGGCCAAAACTACAAACACTTTGGTTTGAATTTGCAGAAGAGAATTACAATTTGGCACAAATCCATAAAGCCCTCTCTGATTTGTTTAATGATATCCCCACTGGCTCTACTCCTACTAATTTAGTGCAAAGCAGTGTTTCACATTACATATACAGAAACAATTCAACCAAGGAAAGTATATCTTTATTTTTGACCTTCCCTCTGATAGGCTGGCTCGCTATATGAAGGGAATGTGTGCAGTGATTTGCAAAATCACTTACAAAATCATTCTTACAAAAGTAAAATTTAAAAAAATGATGAAGATTGATTTTAATTGAGATAATACTAGAATGAACTATTTTGTCACTGAAGAAGGAAAGAATAGCAATTGAGACAATAAGAAGAAAGTAGAGGAATCCTATTATTCACAAGTGTTTTGTGCACTTGGGAATTATGCGTAGATCTCTCAGATTCTCTAGCCTATCCATCTACTGACCCAGTGATCAGACACCAGCTTCCTAGGGACTTGCCCTTCACTCACCCGGTGGACAATGCACTGATCACACCTGAGCAAAATCTCCTTCATTCTCCCATGATTGCAATAAAGTGGCCCCCAGCTCCCAGAAGGGCACTTCCACACCTGGGACTCCTTTTCTGTGCACTTCACACTCTCCAGCCAGATCCGTCCTAATCCTGCCCTGAAGTAAGTGGCCTTGAAGGCTTCTCCACAGCTTAGCTGTCAGCACAGACACTGTGGAAGGAAGCTTCCTTCTCTTCTGGTCTTTTCAGCAACAACCCCACACCCACCCCAGGGCTCAGACTCCCATCCTTGAATGCCCCCATCTCCTCCCCAGACAATTGACATTGCACAGCACAGACCTGAGCAGATGACCCCTGCGTCCTCCTTGTGCCAGCAGTTGTGCTTTCCCCAGCCCCGGGAAGAGCAATTCCATAGGTGGGACTCCTTTCCTGTGCAGTTCACCTCATCCAGCCAGATCTGGCCTGATCCTTCTCCGAAGTGAGCAGCAACTGTGGCATCGAGGGCTTCCCCGCAGCCCAGCTGTCTGCACACCACCTGGGCATCGTTCAGGTCCCACCTGTCATCACAGATGGTGCCCCAGGAACCCTGGTGAAGGATTTCCACTCTGCCGGCACAGCGACTGTCCCCGTTCACCAGGCGGAGCTGTCTGCTGTCTGAGGAGAGAGGGGCCAATGGAAAGTTTACACAGGGAAAGAAAGAAAGGTTTTCTGGTCCTGTGGGACAAATTCACCAGAGTGGTTAGGCTGCACTAGGATCACACCCGGGTCTGGTTTCCTATAGCAGTAATCAGAGAGTATTAGAGCTAAAAAATAGAAAAAAAAACAAACAAACCAGTAAAAAATTAATGTAGTGAGTAGTCTCAGGTAGAAAAGTGTTACATGGGTTCTATCCAAGTTAACCTTCTGATTTGTAGAGTTCTGCATAGTACCTGTAAAAGATATACAGGAAATGTTAGAATTTCTACCCTGAGCAAGAATATGGGTTCAGAGTCACTGTAGTGGGCTACTGGCTGAATGGATTTCATTAAAAAAATTATTTTTTATTATTTTTCAGTTACAGTTGTCTTGCCTTTTCCCCATTGCTCCCCCCTCCCCCCATGCATCCCCTCCCCTACTCCCACAGTCAATCCTCCCCCATTGTCTGTGCCCATAAGTCTTCTATTTGTGTTCCTTTCTTGCCCCTTCCCTTTCTCCTCCATCCCCATTATTCCCCTCCTCCCTCCCTTCCTGTCATAGTCAGTTTGTTCTTTATTTCCAAACCTCTGGTTCTGTTTTGCTCATTTGTTTGTTTTGTTAATTAAGTTCCATTTATAGGTGAGATCATATGGTATTGGTCTTTTATTGCTGGCTTATTTCACACTTTGGTGCCAATGACCTGAGAACTAGAAGAATTAGATTAAAGAGAAGGGAGTGAGGAACTGGAGTGAGCTTATCAGAAGCCTTGGGTAGCAGCCATCAATTCCGTCCCAATCAGAATTGTTCTTCTTGGTATACAGTATTCAAGAGCTGAAAAACTGACCATGAGACAGGCCATGGTTTCTCCCAGAACACTTCATTTACATTCTAGGCTTCAGACTCCAGTTCTGAATACTTAGTTTCAAAAAAATGTACTTCTCTTTGGGTAGATTGAACACCCTTACATTAGAGATGGTGTCAGATGATATTGATTGACATTGGCCAGACATTCCACTGGGAATCTTAGAATCTTGCTTTTCCTCCAAACTAATCTTCATGTCAAGAGTTGCTATTATTGAAAATATGGAGTTATTTGTTCTCTGGGGGAAAAATACTATGTATTTCTAATGAGCACAGAGCAGAAACTGGTTATATTCCTGCTCTGGAAGTACTTGAACAGACAATTTTGTCAGATACGCTGTTATTTTTCTCTAATTTTTACACATGAAAAAGGGATGTAAAGATAAGTAAAATAATGTTCATCAGTTTCCTTTAGGTAAGTGATGAGTAGAGACAAAAACTTAGAACTTTTGTTTCCATTAAGAATGGTCCTACTTGATACAACTAAACAAGCTGAAAAATGTAAAAAAAAAAGTAAAGGTATTAGATATTGGTGGATACCGCATGGGCTATACATGTTAAAATTCCAAAGAGTGGAGATTAGTTCAGTATTAGCTAAGGTCTACAGCCTTTTTTTCTCTATGGGAATTTTTTAATTCAATGCATGGGTTAATAGCACAGAATCGGGGCTTGGGCAAGGCAGAGGACTCCTGTTGGGACAACGAAGCCAGCATAACTTTGGGGGTTACCTGGTACTGGAGTGGCAAAATTGGAGGCTTGCAGGCCTCTCTCACACAGCAGGTTTCCTCCTCAAATATTTGCCCAGTATAGGACTTGTGAAAGGCAGGAAGTCAACGAGCTACATCAAAAATTTTGGAAAGCAGAGTGGATATCCCCTATTCTTTTGGGTGCTAAGCTACCAAAACATGCAGGCTTTCAACTGAAAATCCCTGCAGGCCCATGTTGTAGAAACAGCTAAAAATCAGAGGTAGATTGAGTGTTAAAAAAACTGCAATCCATACTTGTTCCAGCTCAGTTCTAGGTTGTATTTAGACATTTGGGCGATCAGCCCCCCTCCCCCACCTGTCTAGTAGAACAGAAGATGAATCCTCTTGGGTGTTAGATAATTATATCTGGAGTATCATATCTTTTTAATATATAATTTACAGCATTCAATAAAAACTTATATGGCATGTAAAGAGATGGGATCATTTGACAAATGAACAAAGTGGAAAAAAAGAGGAGACAAACACATATATGATAAAGTTGGTGATGTTAGCAGATAAGGATTTTAACTATGATCTGTGTATCAAAAAAATGTACATCTCTTTTGAAAAAAGAGGGAAGTGAAAAAACAGGTAAAAAGGTGATAAAATAAAACAAAGAATTGTAAATATATAAAAAATCAATATATCAATGCCAACTGGAAATAAAATGTCTAGAATTAAGAATTAAATGAATAGGTTAAAAGAAGTTTAGATAGAACTTAAGACAGAATTAGTGACTTAGAGGAGAGAAGAGCAGGAGGATGAGGATGAGGAGTGGAGAGATACACACAGGGACAGAGACAAAGAGTGATGCAGGAGGAATATCTGAAGAGATAATGGCTGAGAATTTAAAAAATGGATGGAAAGTATAACACACATAATCAGGAAGCTCAAAGAACTATAAGAAATACATGAAAAGCCCCATGCCTAGTAAAGCTGCTGAAAATCAGAAAAAGAGAAAAATCTGGAATAATAACAAATGTGTCTAATATAAAGAGAGGCAAAAAATAAGAGAGAAAAAGGAATATAAAGCAGGTGGATGAATTAAAAGCAAATGGTAAACACTAACCCAACACTATCAGTAATTGCATATAATCTAAATGGATTACATACTTCAGATAAAAGTCAATATAGATAAAACAGCAAAATTCAAGTAAATATTATATGCAAGATACCTTATCTTGCAAAAAAAAAGGATGAAAGTAAAATGAAAAAATGTATTTATATACTATGCAAACAGTAACCATAAGTCAAGTGGAGGAGCTATATCAATATCACAAAAAAGTAGACTTCAAAGCACCATACACTATTGAGTTAAAGAGACTGTAATGGGACAAGCCATTAATACAGGCAAAAATCATAATCAACCATTATTAACATATGGCCCAAACCCAAGAAACTAGAAATTTCAAGAAATATAACAAGGAAGTGAGAAACAGTTCTTACTCCTTTTGGGAGGAGTAGAATTTCCCAAAGAAAAGAAGCAAAGACTTCTGAATGGAGGGGCTTGAAATAAAAAGGAAAGATGGGTTAGGGGAAGGGATAGAGAGATGAGGAGCATTGCTAAGGCAGCTAGAGACCAAGGTCCACACCTACAAGAGCCAGCTCTCTAGGCACATGCCTAGATTATTCACATTTTAGGAGCTTGCACATGATATTTTGAATCAGGAAGCCAATGGGTGTCAGTTTTAATGTAGGGTCTGTGGGAACTACAAGACAGAAAATTTAACATAGGGTGTTGACAAGGACAAGATTCTTCTTAATTAGCAGATCTTTTAGGATGTCACAGAACAAGCTCATGTACCCCAGTGGGGCAGGGCAAGGTTGACCAAGAGAGGTACATCCTGAAGTCTCTGAGGCTCCATTCCCCTTCTGCCTTCAATGCTAATATTAATTCACCCTTGATCACCTACACTTGGCATCACTTTTCTCTGTTGCACAATGGGGTTTGAGGACCATCAATCTAAGAGTTAGGAAAGGAAAACATCACAGACAGGAAGGCAAAATTCTGCCAAGAACCCAATGCTATGGAAAAACTAAAGCAGAGCAGAAAAACATCAGAGCGGTGGGTTTGTGGGGAAGATTAAAAAAAAATCAAAGTCTGGCTTAGATTGCAGGTGTAAGGTTATCTGGCAGTATACTTGTAGTTCATGTTGGGAGGGCTTTTTTGATAGGCAGGGAGGTTTCCATCTCTGCCCTCATTGTGTGCTCATGCACATGTGTCATTGCCATCACTACCACTTCCTCTACCAAGTCCAACAGTCTGGCATAGAGACTGTGAGTTCTATGGATTCCTATCTAAAATGTTGATTTTCCTGGGCAGATACATTCTTGTTTCATATTTAACCTTCACACACTCTTCAAACTTCCCTCAACCCATTTCTCTTTCTCTCACTTTCCAACAAACACATGTACACATATATACACATATACACAATCTATTGTCTGAAAGAGCAAAAATACCAAAATACTGATTGATAGAGACATAATGAAGAGTAGAGGAAGGACAGATCAGAGACCCAGCCTGGGGTAGACCCTCAGCCATAATCCATTGCAGAAGGTGATTTGAGCTTTAGGTGTTGGAGAGGCATGAAACACAGATTTGGGTTAATCTGAGAACAAGGTTTACATCTCTGCAACATGTCCCATTTAAACTTGAAAAGCAGAGTCCCCACAGGAAAAAAATCAGCATCGACTGTCACTAAAGATTACTTTTTGTGAAAACTAAATGGTCTATAGGGAGGCATTGTCTTTACAATTCCAAGGATCATCTCCCCAGACTTTTAGAGCTAATCCAGTATCACTGCTGATTTTAAGAAGTGAGGCTACGCTTACCTTGAGCACTCGCTAGGACACTGAAGAGGAAAAAACCAAGTCCTTGGAGAAAGCAGTGTCTGTTCCTGGTCGTTTTGACCCTCATGTCAACAGGTAACAGTCTCAACTTTCTCAAACCATACAAGGAATCTTCCTGATCCTTAATGGGTGTTCCTACAGCAGGAAGGGGGTTATATAGTCCCATCGCCTGACATCGCCATCTTCCAGCAGCCAATAGAAACCCTAGTTAACATCTTCCTTGCCATCAGACACTATGTAAAAGGAAACTTTCTGGATTTCAAACACCAATTAGATGCTGAATCTTACATATCTCCTTATATGAGATACAAGGCTTTCTCATGTCAGGTGGTACTCTCACCCCACCCCCATCCCACAAAGCTGATACAGTAAATCTATACTTAAAAAAATACATGTGGCTTTCTTTTCTGCACCCCACAGGTCTGGCTCAATGGCTGGCTCAGTGCAGCTGGTGAGATCAGTCAGATGTGCTGTTTCTGGGACAGTTCTACCACCCCATGGACCAAGTAAAAGTGATTTTTGTTTAATTTGATCTAGATCTTCAATGTCACATGTTGTGGGTGCAAAGAAAGAAGAAGCATCTAATAGTAAGAACCAAAAGTAAAGTTAACAGAAAATTAGGACTTGAGAGGTAAAAAATTCTCAGGTATTTCAGGTTTCTTTGGATATAGGTGGAGGTGGGCAAAGGTGGTGGGCAATAGGGATGAGAAGAGATTTTCTTAGGGCAATGGGTGCATGATGCAGTGTTCAGATGGTGTTTTGCTGAGTTCTATACTTGAAATCTGTATTATTTTGTGAACCAGTGTCACCCCTATAAATTTCATTTAAGTAATTTTCAGGTAAATGAAAAAAATGTGAAACAGATCAAGGTGTAATGATTATTGGCTGCATATCAAGAGCTTTCCTCTAATTTATTTCTGGTTTCTAAGTAAAAGCCAAATAAAGATACAGAGCTTTGGTCTACAGTCTGTATACAAAAGTATACGGAAGTACATAGAAGTATACAGTCTGTCTTTCCTTTTCTTCTCTCACATCACGGAGAATTTATTGCCCCACGACTACCATAACCAGAACAGACACTTTCCCTAGGAATAATTCTAGTTTCCTTGGACAAGGTGATACTATAGATTACAAATAGATTACGAAGTTAATTCCCATTTTACACTGTGGCAATTTGCACCTGAAAATCCAGTCTCAGTAGTTAGAAAGTGCATGCCCTTCTACTCCTGGGTCCTCTTTTCAACATCTCTGTTCCTATGCCTCCCCTTCTGTTCATTTTCATATAAACCAGTCAGTCCACTTTCACATTCTTTTAGGTCTCTTTGAATAAACAAATAACAAGGCTTTCATGACAATGCTTAAAAATGGAATAAAGCTTACACACATTTCTTATGTCACCCTTGTTATCAACAACACGAGTACTAATGTTATTATTTAAAAAATAATATTTTATTAAGATATAATTGACATTTAACATTGTGTAAATTTAAGGTGTACTATGTGTTGATTTTATACATTTATGTATTGCAAGAATGATTACCACCATAGTGTTAGCTTATACCTCTATCATGTCATGTACTTATTGTTTCTTTTTTTGTGGTGGAAAAATTAAGATCTAGTTTCTTATCAACTTTGGGTTATAATATATTATTGTTGTCGATAATCACTATGCTGTGCATTAGAGCTCCAGAATTTATTTTTCTACTATTTGCAAGTTTGTACCTTTAAACATCTCCCCTATTCATTCACTTAGCTCCTGATACCTACTCTGTTTTTAATTTGTTTTGTATTTCACATATGAGTGATACTGTACAGTATTTGTCTTTCTCTGTCTGATGTATCTCACTTAACACAATGCTCACTTAGCATAATGTCATCCTACTTGTCGAATTTTGCTTTTGTTGTTTGTGTTCTTGGTGTTATCTCCAAAAATTATTTGTTGCCAAGACCAAGGTTAACGAGATTGCCCTACACTTTCTTCTAGGGGTTTTGTGGTGTGAGGTCTTATGTTCAAGTTTTAAATTCATTTTGAGTTTATTTAAAATAAGGGTCCAAATTCATTTTTCTGCCTGTGGTTATCCGATATTGCCAACATTTGTGGAAGAGACTATCCTTTCCCCCTTAAATGTTCTTGGCTTCCTTGTCAAATATTAGTTGAGTATATGTCAGGGTTTATTTCTGGGCTCCCTGTTCTGTTCCATTGGTCTCTGTGCCTATTTGTAGCCATTACCACACTGTTTTAATTACTATACTACTGTAATACATAACAGTTTGGAATCAGAAAGTGTAATGCATCTGGCTTTGTTCTTCTTTTTCTTAATTTCTTTGTTTATTCTGCATCTTTTATGGTTCTATATGAATTTTAGGATTTTTTCCTACTTATGAGACAAATGCCATTGGGGTTTTGATAGGGATTGTGTTGATTCTATAGATGGCTTTTGATAGTATGGATGTTTTAATAATATTAATTCTTTTAATACATGAACATCAGATATTTTCCCACCTGTGTTTTTGAAATTCTTTTTACAAAATTCTTGTAGTTTTTATTGTATAGATATTTAATTCCTTGGTAAATTCATTCTTATTTGATTGCTTTTTATGCTATTTTGAATGTGATAGCTTTATTTCTTTTTTAGATATTGGTATGTAGAAATGCAATTAATATCCATTTGTTTATTTTTATATCCTCCACTTCTTGATTAGTTCCAATAGTTTTTTTTTGGTTGAGTTTTTAGGTTTTTCTGTATAAAAGATTATATCATCTGCAAGTAATTACAATTTTACTTCTTCCTTTCTGATTTAGACGCCTTTTATTTCATGTCTTGCCTAAATACTCTAGTTAGGATTTCCAGTACCGTGTTGAATACAAGTGGTGAGAATGAGCATATTGGTCTTGTTCTTGATCGTAGAGGAAAAGCTTTCCATTTTCTACCATTGAGTACAATGTTAGCTGTGGGTTTCTTGTATATGAATTTTATTATATTGAAGTGTGCTGTTCTACACCTATTTTATTGATGGTTTTAATCATGAAAATTTGTTGTCTTTTGTCCAATGGTGTTTCTGCATGTGTTGAGATGATCATATGATTTTTACCTTTTGTTTTATTAATGTGATGTATCATATTTATTTATGCATATGTTGAACCATCCTTGTATCCAGGTTAGAGTGCATAACCATTTTAAAGGTATCTTAAAATTCATTTTACTAATGCTTTGTTGAGAAGTTTTGCATCTATATTCACCAGGGATATTGGTCAATAGTTGTTTTTATTTTCCTGTAGTGTGTTTATCTGACTTTGGTATTAGGGCCATACTGGGCTCATACAATGAGTTTGGTAGTGTTCCCTCCTCCTTGAGTTTTTTGGAAGAGTTTGAGAAGGATTGGCATTTATTCCTCTTTAAATGTTTAGTAGATTTTGCCAGTGAAACTATATGGTCCTTTGTTGGTAGAGGTTTCTTTTTTCCTGTCCCGTATTTCTTCATTTTACTTATTTTTTCATTTAGACTTGTGTTTTTATTTTATTTATTTATCTTTTGGATTTTATTTTTATTGTATTTTTAGCATTACCATTTAGTCCCCTTACCCACCTCATCCCCTCAATCATAATGCCATACTGTTGTTCATGGCCATGAGTTTTTTGATTACAGATTCAATCTCTTCAGATTTTTCTATGTCGTCCTTATTCAATATTTGCATGTTGTGTGTTTTGGGAGCTGTCCTGCCTGGTTTTAGGGACTGTAGCCTCATTAACTGACAAAGGAGTCCCATGGCTAGGGCTGAGTGAAAAGGCCTTGGGGCCATGAGCCACTAAGGAGGCAGAACCTATCCTCCTGACAGGAGTGCAGCCTCTGCCTCCCTCACTTCCCCTGCTTGGCCTTTGAGGATGACTGGTTAGCCAATGACAGGTAAGATTCCCCAAGTGAGGGACAACCTAAGACAGGCACAGTCATGAAGGAACTATCAGGGAAGGACTTAGGGGTCTACAGAGAATGGGCAGAAAGACCCTCACCCCTTGGCTTTGTCATAGTCTGATTCTTCATTCTTTCTGTAAAAAGTCTCCTATTTCTTGGTTGCTTTGCGACCCTTACCTGACTCAGCCTGCAAACAATGCCAGACAGAGCAGCTGTGGCCTTGTACTGAAATGAATGGCTCCCAGTGGTAAATCTGGCCTGAGAAAGAATGTACATTTTGTTGGTTGAAGCCTGCTCTGCCTAGCATAACCCTGTTGATTACAGTGGCACCAGTGCCTTTCCATATGTCACCATAACAATCAAAAAAAGGGGGAGATGTTGGGAACCACTCTGTATGGTTCAGGAGATTGCAGCCCTGCAAGAACAGGCTCTGAAAGGGGCTAGTAAGTTTCCCTGAAAAACCAGGTAATGCAGGTGGCAGACACCACCTGACTCTAACCCTGAGGGTTCCCGTGGGAATCAGGCCTGATAAATACATTGTATGCTTTGAAGCTTGCTCTGCTTTGTTTTGTATAGCCCTGGTGATATAAACTAGATGTTTAAGTTCAAAGCATAAGGAGTAAACTCCTCATCTCATGAAACTTGTCTTAAAGACCCTCTGGCATCAGCATGACTAGCAGACCCTGACCTATGACAGACCTTTGTGTTCCTTCAATTGTTATCTGTTGATAGCAGATTGTTTTTGTATGACTATAACCTTTTTGACATTGATTGATTAACTATGCATGTATGCTGTATACACCTATACATACCATTCCCAATAAAAACCATTTAGAAGAAGAGCTAGGAGTGTACTCCACTAGAGGGAATTGCCACCCCCTTTCTTGCCAGAACAGCAAGATTGTGTCCAGGATGACTTATTTCTCATCTGCAGTGGATGGGAGGATTCTGCTGGATGGAATTCCTCCCACATGTATGTTTCTAGAAAATTATCCATTTCTGGTATGTTTTCCATTTTGTTGTCTTATAATTTTTCATAGTGGTTCCTTATGATCCTACATATTTCTGTAATATCAGTTATAAGGTTTGTTATTTCATTTATGATTTCAAGTCCTATTTTTTTCTTGGTTAATCTAGCTAAAGTTTTGTTCATTTTGTTTCTTCTTTTTGAAAAATCACCTTTTAGTTTCTTGACTTTTCTATTGTTTTCCTGGTCTCTATGTTATTTATTTCTGTTTTGATTTTTCAAATTTCC